TTTGCATATTTTGCATTTTTGGTAATATTAAAATGCACATTTTTTATTTTTGCATTGCACGAAACCGTGGGCTCTAAGCCAAGCTTACGATCGCTTTCTAAATTAGATGAGGATTTAAACTTTGAAAATAGAATAGATGATATTAATACTTATCTTGATCTTGAACGGGTTGGATTTCCCCTTTTTTACTGGCCTCCCATATATTGATTTATTGATTTAAATTAATATATCGACCCTAACGTGACACGTACAAATTATTTACTGATCTTCGACAAATCGATTATATAATATAATCTTAATTACCTTATCAAAGATCATTTGAATTCAATTTAAATCTAGTAAAGTTCAATCTCGTGATTAATAAGAGGCGTTTGTCAAAGTATTTAATTTAATATTTTTTTTTAAAAAAATTTTTACTCCAGATTTTCTTTATCTCACGCGAAAATGCCGGAACTTATTAATGCAAACCCGACAATTTATATTCCTTCAAAAACTTCTCATAGAGTCATAACAGCTAAAGATGAAGACGAAAATATTGAAGATATAATAGACTCTCAGGAAGTATTCGGTAAGGCTTGTGAATGCCTACTTTCAAATGGCTCGACTTTAAAATTCATTATACTAATAAGAAACAAAAACAAAAAAAAAAAACACGGTTTTAGACTTGATAAGATCAATTTCAGATCCTGAACATCCACTCACTCTTGAAGAATTAAACGTGACTCAACTTGAGCACGTCTTAGTTGATGATGATAAGGATCGTGTTAAAATAGAATTTACTCCTACTATACCACATTGTTCCATGGCTACTCTCATCGGTTTATGTATACGAGTAAGATTACTTCGTTCCTTACCTGAGCGTTTTAAAGTTGATATTAACGTCAGAAAAGGAACTCATCAATCTGAACAAGCAGGTAAGCATTTGTTATATACTTTTTAAAAAAAGTAATAGAATTTAATTGAAAATTTTTGAATATTTTAGTTAACAAACAATTGAACGATAAAGAACGTGTTGCCGCTGCTCTTGAAAATGCTCATTTACTTGAAGTTGTAAATCAATGTTTGACCACCGCTCATTCTCGTAGTATTAAACTTCGTCAATGAGAATAGTATCTTGTAACAGTTTGATAATGAACATAATGTATTTTTTAAATTTTGTTTGAATTCAATAATCAAGTCTAAAACTTTTTAATAAAGTTCTTATTTTGTTTACAAAAACAAAAAAGAAAATTTTATGAATAATGATCAATTGAAAAGGAATAGACTAGCAAGATTTACCTAATTTAAGGATGGAGTGAGAGATGAATGTAATAAAAGAAAGTATAAAGTAGGATAGGATAAAAAAAAATGTTCATAATGTTTATATGATGTTTGTAAAAACCACCTTTAAAAAAATAACCCTTTTGCAATGGCATCATTTTCCCACCCTTGTTCGATGGTATGATGGTATTATTGGATTCGCAATGTCATTGCGTGATTACTAATTTCCATGGAAGAGGTAGAATTGTCTATAATTGAAAATTATAATATCTATCTAAAAATTAAAAAAAATATATATATATATATACGATATTTATAGCTAATGGTTATCTATTGCAACTTTAGAAAGTTCTTATTGTTTGTTTATCAAATTCATGATTAATATGTCATAACTCGCTAATAAAAAAAGGAATGGTTTCGTTTTACCTTTTTTTACCCTTATACAATGAAAATTTAGGGGAATGATCAGAATTGATAAGGAGGATTTACTAAACTCGTGGTGCTATTATAGAAAAAATTTAAGAATGTTAAGCAATAAATTCTTCCGCTTCTCAATTAATAAATAAATTGATAAAAAAATTTTTTACCTTGCGGCTCTTGCTTCGATCGTTGATAAAAATGCGCTTGCCTCATTTTTCGTGGAATTCTTTCTTTTCTTTTTACCGATATGAATTGGAACCATATTACTTGACTCTCTATCTGATGCGACAGATGTTTCATGTTCTGATGAATCATTCATCAATTGAACAGCTAATATTTTTATAAATAAATTTATTATTGTTATTTTTTTTTTTTCAAAAAAAAAATTAATCATCTCTCATTTATAATCAATTAATAACATCAAACAGGTAAATACCTAAAGTTTCCTTGAAGTTATCGGCTTTTACTTTAGGCGTCAAGTCATCGGAACTATTTTCCAAGTTCATAATATAAGGAGTGACAACTAATCTAGGTTTCTCGGTCTCTAATATTCTAGATGACCTAATTTTATAAGCCTCTTTTTTGACCTTCTCAAATCCTTCTTCTTGTCTCCATTCTGCCATTAATTTTTCTTCTAATTTTGCACCACCAATATTTTCAATTTCTTTGTGTTTACATAGCATAGGAACTATAATTTGACGATCAAGCCAAATATCAACGGGTTGTAAAGATTGATTATTTTCATTAGTGATCTCGTCTTCAAAAGACGATGATAAATCTACATTGTCTAAATTATTTTCCGAGGAGGTTGTCTTAAAATAAGTTGACCATTGACATTTTTCTATACGTTCCTTTCGTATCTGTAATTCATAAATAATAAAATAATAATGTAATTAATCATCGAGATACGAATATATGCATAATTAACGTAATGATAGACGTACATTTTCTATATATTGTTGTAATTCCGGAATATCCAAAACCTGAGCAATATCAGAAAAGTATAATACAATCAAACTAGCCAAAGCTCGTTGACGAGAAAACCCATCAAGTTTCTCGTCTTTAGCTTCAGATTGTAATTTGAAGACAACTGGAATTCCTCGAACAATTTGATCAGCTCTAAACCGTATCAATAATGAACGTAAAATTACGAGTAAAGCTAAATTATCACCAGGTTTTGAATCATTTAACAATGTATATTTATATAACGTCAAATGTAGAGTATTCAGGAAGTGTATAGCAGGTTGATTGAAATATGTAATCTGTAATTGAAAAAGTTTATATTGAATTAGTTTTGAGCTTGAATCAACGGTTTGTGTTTAGTATAAAAGTAATAAGAATCTCTTGACCTGTATTGGCTCAATTTCCTTGGATTCCTCTGATGTGTTAACATTATTTAAAAATGTGGAAAGGACTTGAGCATAAGCGATCCTTACACCTATGGTATAAAACATTAGTAAAAATCAAACTTATTGAATTTTTTCAGCCAAATATGATTCACTTACCAAGGTCCTCATCCGTGCATAAATCAATTGAATTATGAAATATTTCAACAGGAACTTCACTTCTGGCATTTCCCGATGACTTTTTCTCAGCTTCTTTATTGGTCAGTACAACCATACTTAAACATTTTAATAGCGCTTTACGTAATAAACTAAGAGGTATTCCTTCAGTCATATAACTGCTACTGCTATTGCTACCCTGTTGAGATTCTGTACTAACTTGTAATTTTAAATGTTGAACAATACGTTCTACGATATCACTGATTTGGTTGGCATAGTAAATGTGAGTTGCGAGACTACCTGTTAAATAAATTTGTTGTTAATTTGAAAAATCATAATGAAGCATTTTATCGGGAAAAAAAATTTTTTTAAGGTATTACCAATGCAAATTATAAGTCTCTGTATAAATATCGTATCCAAATCTTGAGCTTTTTCTGTCAACGTATTATCTGTTTTCAAATTTAAGTCTACGTCAACTTGCTCAAATTTAACATCATCATTTTTTAATGAATTTAACAAATGACTAAGTAAACAATCCAAAACTTCTAATACAGAAAGTCCAACAAGTGTTAAATCACTCGTTAAAATAGATGTTAACATCTCAATAAATGTAATTTTTTTGGATAAATCAGAATTCCCTGACGACTCAAGTCGTTGTATTATATCTCCGACTAGTATATGACGGTATTGTTGCTATTAAATTTACGAATGTTTAACACATTTTGAAATTATGTATTAAAAATAATAATAAAATGATCAATTTATTTTACCTGAATGGAAGAAAGGATAACCAAAATTAAGGTAATGCCAAACGAACTTGGCCACCAAAATTTATTTTCATCCAAAATTGTAAAAGTAGGTTCGAGATAATAACGTAAATTAGAAGCGTTTGACATTGTAAACAATTGTTCTAAACAATGATACGCAAGAAGAGTATTATCTTCGGTTGAAATCATTGCAATACTAGCCGAAAATCGACGCGATTTTGGTGTAGAAGAATCCGCCGGATTGTTAACGCTGAATAATTCATTAAAATTTTTAATATCATCTTTCGAATTTGCAATGCAATATACAAAAAAAAAAAACGCGAATTTCACTGAATAATACCCTCATGACACTTACTTTTTTTGTAAAGCTTCTAAGCCCGTTTTATCGTCAGTTAAATTATGTAATATAGCTGGGATGATATATTGCAATTGTGTTTTAGCATCGGACGCATATAAAGCATTGGAAGTTGCTGCTCCTTGAAGAGCATAAAGACCTATAGAACGATACCTAATTTGGAAATATTTACCATAAGTAATTAAATTAATTTATGTAAAGTGTCACTAATATCCTAACCTTCTTTCTAAATTTTGATCTAAATTTTGATCACCATATTTACACGTAGCATATTTAGCAAATTGGTCGATCAAGCTTTCATAAATGGAAGTAAATTCTGTATCAACTCCGAGTGTAGACCCATTGTGATATGCGCAAAAAGTAATGAACTATTAATCAACCAATGATAAATATTAATATTATCTTTATTTAAAATGGAAAATCATTTTATGTTAAGATTACAAACCACTGATGTAGCACGTGAAACCAAATCGATATCATTTGTACTTAAGGAAGCCGCAATAATCTTGACAACATTTTTTGAGAACAAGTTAAGATCTTTTTTTACATTCATCAATAAGAACCTTGATAATTTGTAATGATACTTCTGTATCCCTGAAAAATTCAATTTAAATCAGAAATTAATCAAAAAAAAACCTTAATAAATGAAATAATTCTATTAAATAATAGCTGATTGTTTTATAAACTTACTGTTTTCTTCTCTTTCGAACATCAGTGGCTACCCTTTTTTCCAGATAAACACCACATTTAGTTAGTTTAGCAGGCTTCGAGTTAGCATAAAAAACGAGATAAGAAAGTTCGCTTGACTTTGGAAGCGTCTCCCCAGGACCTGTAGGATAACAGTTATTTATAAGGGTGGCATGTTTTATCCAACCTTGACAAACTCCAGCGCAAGACAGACTCATTCGAATAAGTTGGAATATAGGATTAAAAGAGCGGTAAAAAGGAAAATAGTGGGAATTTTGTCTTATGAATTAGACAAAAGAAATAAACGAGTGGAATTATATTATAAAATCAATAGGATGCCCCTTCCGGATGGCGAACTAGTAGGATTTTTAAAAGTGGTGAAAACAGTTTATGAAAGAAAAAGAGTATATATGTATATATATTTTTTTTAAAAAAAAAAAGTTGGTTGAAAGGTTTCAACACTTCAATGTAACACTTTTGTGCTTGTTTGTAATTATATTTTTACAAATTTGCGAAGTTCAACCAACTACAGCTCCGACTTTCTAAATTTGGCAATAAAAAGGATCTGCGGACTAAAATTATCCGATCTTCATGCAACTTTGAATAAATTCTATTCAATCATTTTTCACGCACGGAGCATCTATCTTTCATTTTTTCTAATATGCCAATAGTACCTTCTCAAGCAGGATATCCGGTTAATCGTCGTACCAATTGTCCGCACATTCAAGATCATGTCTCTCCGGATTGGGCTAAAGTTACAGTAGATGTTAGTAAACCATGCACCGTTTGTAACGATGCTAGCGAGAATTGGCGCTGCTTAGAATGTCAAGGTGTATTTTGTAGCAGGTAATTTATTGTATTTTACACTTTTATCTTTCAATTTATTGTATTTAAAATAATGTATGATTCAATTAATATCAATAGGTATATCAAAGGTCACGCCGCTGAACATAATCAAGGCACTTCTCATCCAATATCCGTTTCTTTTAGCGATCTTTCTACTTGGTGTTATGCTTGTGACGATTATGTAACTGACCCGGTTAGTTTTATACAATAGAGAAACATACGAAATCGTCGTAAGATAAAATTTATATTTTTGCGATTTTATCTTATAGCTTCTTAAACCTATCGAAGCAGCTTTACATCTCTCTAAATTTGGGACCATACCTCCAGATTCAGGTGATATTGAAATTGCGAGTGAAGAGAATTCTACAGCAGGTGGAGAGGGAACTAGCGGTTCTGCATCAAAAGCTTAAAATAGTTCACGAGTAATGATAACGCGTAGTATAATTTTTTTTTTTTTCCCGACAAAAACAAAACGAATAAAATTTAAGGTCACATTTATTGGTGGAAATGATTATTTTCTTAACCATCTGAAATGTCCTCACAAGGACAGGCTTTATAAAAATATTTTATTGAACCCGATGCCGAAAACTTGTATAATAAAAAAATAATAAATAACTAACTAATTAATATAAAATTTTACAATAAAATGTTCGTGTAAAATTACGGAAATTTTACGGAATTTCGTCTTCAACATCACTAAAGTGTACATATTTCATATCTTTTTGTTTATGCGATTTTTTTTTTTTAGTTGAAGGTATTGCAAGTTTTTCATGAGAATTTTCAGTTGATTCTTGTGACAGTGTTTGAACATTTTCATTAATAGTTTGTTCCTTTATTAAAGGCGGGCTTTCCTGTTCTGAATCTTCGAACTTTACAGTATTGACTTTAGGTGGTGTTGGAGGTCTTGGGATTGATGAAAAAACTACAGATTCATTTTCATTTTCTTCATCGTCTATTGTTGACGTTTCTATGAGAACTGATTTGATTTCGGTTGATTGATCGCTTTTATCTCTAGGATTTTCTGTTTCTACTTCAGAATGATCCAAATCGCTATGGTCTGCTTCATTTGAATCATCAGTTAAAGGAGATCCACTAGTAGGATTTCGATTTGAAGAGTCGAAAGTGGGTGGCGTAGGCACGTCTACATCAGAAGTTACTGTTGTTGTAATTGAATCATCTGGCCGATGTTTAGGAGCCCACGCAGAAAGAGCTGCAGTAGCATTTGAAATAGCCTGTGAAGTTTTCTCATAACCTGCATTAAAAAACAAAGAGGACTTTAATAAAGAAATTAAGATCACGCAAATATTTTAAAATCTTTTTCATTACCCGTATATGTCTTCCTGGGCTCGCCAGGTGTTGTTGTTTCTACTGAAATCTGTTCAACAATGTCCCTACTATAATTAGCTATAATTAGCAACTTTTCACCAAACTCAAGAAAACCATCTAATTGAAGTAATAGTGCTGTTTGTAATTTTTGACGTTTAAAATCCGCCAAAGCCGTTTCCTCTATATATATATAAATTTATTTATTTATTAATGTGAACTAAAAGATTTATGATTAATTGATCAATTGATTAACTTAAAAAAAAAAATTTTACACTTGTAAATTACCTTCAAGCGATTCCTTTTCGACCTTTTCCAATTCCTTCTGGAATTCTTTAAGCTTTTGTTCGGCAGCTTCGGGATGTTTTGAATGAGAAGCTTTTCGTTCTTCTTTTTCGATTTTATTCCAAAGAGATTCCTTCTTGAGTCGATGCTCTCTCATTGTTTCTTCACGTGAACGAATATCTTTTAAATGTCCACGATATTGAGCATAACGTTCCGCTAAATTAATTGAAAATACCCTTTTTAAATAAATAAATATATATGTATGCATGTATATTTTTTTTATCAAATTAATTTATACGTGTAAGAATTCATAACTTACCAAGAATACCTTCGTATTCCGACAACTTTGCAAATAAAAGAGCTAGTTTCTCGGTAATATCACCTAAATCAACGTCTTCGCTTTTCCCCCAAATACTAAGATATTTTGCCGCTTCATTTTGTTCATATGTCAGAGTACTTAGAGAATCACACACCCCACGTTCCGCCGCAAGCAATTTAGTCAAATGCTTGGTATCATTATTTACTAGAATGAACATGGATAAAAAAATAAATAAATAAAAAAGGTATGAAATATTTATTGATACATCAAAAAAAAAAAAAAAAAACACTTACCTATAGAATTTATTGAAGTGAGATTACGACGAATGTCGGTTGCGACAGTATCTAAATGAAAATTTCTGATAGCTTTCATATTTTACGATTTGCGAAAAATTTCATGATGATTTTGGTTTTTATATCGTATAGGCGGATTTGACTCAACAGCTTCACCCCCGTAACAAATAATATGCAATCACACCCCATCGGTGATATATCACATTATTTTATATTACTTAAATTAGAAAAAACGCGAACATGAATTTTTTGCTTTATCAGTACGCGC